TGTCTTAAGGTTTAGTCAGCGGAAAGTATCTAAGGAGGACTCGATAACACCAGTTATTGTACCTTCCCGTGAGAAAGAAAGATTTTCTTGAAGTAAAAGGTATCCTAAACGTTGACTTGAGTAATAAGTTATCACTTCACCAAATTTCGTTGAAATCGGTTCGTTACTTTTCGCGTGAAACGCGCATACAAAAACATACAAACAGACATACAGGCAAACAGACAAACAGACATTTTTTTTAATTACTATTGTTTTGGGGTCTATGTTGTGTACATAATACGCTACAAATAAACGAAAACATCTATCCCACGGGAACCGTACATTTTTCCGGGATAAAAAGTTACCTATTTGTTATTCTGATATATTATTTAAAGTTTCATTAAAATCCAATCAGTAGTTTTTGTGTACTAAGCTGTATAAGGTACTTTAGTTTTTTGACTGTCCCACGGGAACCCTTAATTTTCCAAGACGAAAAGTAGCCGATTTGTTATTGTCATGTATGAACTATATTATTGTAAAGTTTTATTAAAATCCAATCAGTAGTTTCTGTGTACTAAGCTGTATAAGTTATTATAGTTTTTTAACTATCCCACGGGAATGATTTAATTTTCTGGGATAAAAAGTGTCTAAGATGTTGCCCGCGGATATAAGGTACCACCATGCAAAAATTCATTTAAATCGGTCCAATAGATTCGGAGATTAGCCCGTACAATCAGACAGACAGAGAAACAAAAAATTTGAAAAAAATCTAGATTTGTTCTATTTGTCTTCTTACATCCCCCTGACTCGGTTTTTAGCATTTTTTTGCTATGTACAGACATTCGACTTCTACTGTTTTATTATAGTATAGATATAGAAGAAAATCGTGTCATTAATACAGTTTAAATACTCGTAAAGCATCACTCTCCAAATAACAGTTGATAACCAATTAACAATTTAAATGACTATAAACGGAATTGTACACAGTATTATTACTGTTATTTATGTGAGAGACAAATTAAGTATTTAGTAACTAGCAGCGCAAGAATTCTCAACAGCTATTAAAAACATTAAATTGTGCTATTTCATACGCTGTAATCAAATATTTTGGAACATAATCGTAGTTTTTAGGCTCCTAGCCAAAGGCAATATCGATTCTAGGCTATTCTAGTGTATTCGTGTAACACGCAACACTTGTAATAACGAGTACAACACGCGTAAGACTCGTTTTAAAAACAGTATTATGAATGGATGTCCAAAAATTTTTTACATTATTCAGTCCATAGGGTTCCACAGACTTAAAAAATTGAGACCGGGCTGAAAAACAAAGCCCAGGCTTTCGTCTATCTGTCCAACTTTAAAAGGGTTTTCCTTGAATCTGGGGGCATTAAACTATTCACGAAATATGTGTTATATAATATGTATTTCCGATTATTTTTATAAATTATAACACACAATATATAAATGTTACGGAAAATCTTCATATATTTTTTTATCTCCAAATTTTGGTTGAATTGTTTTAAAACTTTAAAAGGCAACATTGGACTTGGAGTATTATTTCTATAGTATAACAACAAATATTTTGTTAACACTGTTCAGGAGTTCCTTGTTGATGGAAATGTGTGGAATTAATATATATTGACTCATATGCGGGCTATCTGTAATATTATGTTTATCAATGTAAATTCGATATTTAAAAGAGCAACTGTTGAGTTTCTCGCCGGCTCTTCTCAGCAGAGCTGCTTTCCGAGCCGGTGGCAGCTTCCTTACAGACTGACTACACTGACTCTCTTTAAATTGACGATATAAAAGTGCTTAAAATGAAGTCTATTTGAACAAAATTTTATTTCATTTACGAAACTTGGTAAAGTATGAGTCGTCCTGCATATGTTTGTTCACAGCATCATTTCGGTTACTATTAGTTACGTTACCAAAATATATTGCTTAGTACTACGGAATCCTAGGTGTGTGAGTTTGACTTATTCTTGACCAATTTTTCAAAGGTTATTTACAAAAATATAATTCTAATGCTTTTATAAATTTATTATAGTAAATATTTTTATTTTTTAACATATCATACTCATACAAAGGTTTCTATTACTGTTATTTGTTAAGCTTATGACGTAACAAACTTTGATGTAGTGTAGCTTTTTTTGATGAGAAAATAAATAAAAATGATAAAAATATATAACGAAATAAAATCGTCTTGTATGTTTTATAATTAGTAAATATATTTCAAAATTTGTATCGCAATATTAGGAAATAGGTAGAGGCGTTTTCCAATACGAATGTAATGAAGATTCCATTTGAAACATGGGATAAATGAATTGCAAGTGTAAGGCAATACTTTACAGGGAGCACGAAAAATATTGAAATTTAACCTATAGATAACAGGGTAAATGGAAGATTTTTTCTGGATTTTTGTATGTATTTGCCGCCAAATATTTTCGATTTTGAGACAAATAGATATACAATTTCTCTTTGAGCTGAACTTTCCATTTCGAAAGAGAAATATTTCTGTATTAAACTTTATACGGAAAGGCATTAAAAATCAATGTTGAGCTGACAATTTAACTTAAGATAGATAATTTTATCAGCTTAGACTAAGGAATAATAAGAGAGTCATAGAATAAAACATGAAGATAAACAATAATGTTTTAAAATCCATACTTAATATTATAATTGTGAAAGTGTGTTTGTTTGTTTGTTTGTTTGTTTGTTTGTTTGTTTGTTTGTTTGTTTGTCCTTCTATCACGTCAAAACGGAGTGATGGATTGGCAGGATTTTTTGTGTGTAGATAGTTGGAGGGCTGGAAAGTGACATAGGCTACTTTTTACCGTGGGAGATGATCTTATTCCCACGGGAAAACACGTTATAATACAACCTGAATTATTTATGATCAGAATTATTACTTGAAACTTGGTATTAGTGCTCTTCAATACAATTGAATAAATACTGTTTTAGCATTTTTCGAAGTTCATCCCATAAGGGGGTAAAATAGGGGATGAAGGTTTGTATGAAATGTACCTTTTTGTATGAAATGTATTTTTTTATAGTTTTAGTGCGAAGCCGCGGGTTCTGCTAGTAGCATATAAATGCCAATTTGTGTAGTGATAAGTAAATAAATATTAATAAATAAAAATACCAACCTAAGAGATTTAATTATGATAAAGAAAAAATAAATAATTAAAGAGATTTTATTCTCATTAATTTTATATTAATTTAACTAATACATATATAGAAATTCCTTTATTCTTTAAAGGAAGTAAACGATCTGTGTGGCTAAATCTAGAATGGTAGCAAAAACAGCAAATCACGCTACTATTTTTGACTTTGAAATTTATTTTGGCGGACTTCTACATAATTCTTAAGTGAAACATTTGTTTCTAATTTATTTCAGTTTTTATAAACTACTAGCATTTCCCGCGGCTCCGCCCGCGTTCAGATGACCAAAAACCAAATTCTTAGGTTTTACATATTAGTATACTCTTAAATTGCAGTTTTTGTATTTTTTCACAGAAATGAGACTTTTCCCGCGGTAAAACGTATCTTATATGTTGACCCGGATAACCAGCTACCATCGTACCAAATTTCATCAAAATCCCTCCAGTGGTTTTTCCGTGATGCGGTAACAGACAGACAGACAAAAAATTTAAAAACTATAGATTTGGCCTCTGTATCGACAATAATAAGAACAATAATAATAACATTTCAATAAGATTTTCCTAAAATTATTTAATGTACAGATTCGACTTAGGTACAATTTTATTATATGTATAGATAGACTACTTATGAACTAAACTAAGTGTCTATAAGTAATTTCAACATGCTGAAATGTTGAGCTAATTCGAAGTATCGAAGTTTATTCACGTATTGGTGGACTTTTTGAGCGGGATTTGCTAACATAAATTAATAATTGCTTTTAAATCACTTTACATGTACAATATTACAAGAAACATATTTTGAGTTCGCATAATTGTTGAAGCAAATGATGTTTATATAATTATGTAGTATATTTAGGCCTATAGCCTAAGCCCTAAGGCAACATTATTCTATGGTTATATGGGCTAGATAAATATTTAATTTACCAACTGAAACTCAATCTAAAATATATGAATAACATACTAGAAGCATGTTTCAACTTCACAGGCCTGATTTTTTTAAATTTAATGCCCGAAAAGTTTTGTTTCTAATAACAAATAATTGGTACCTATTTCTTTTCTTGGGAGTTACTTATTTTGTTATGAAGTTTGGTCTTAGCGGTTATGTGATTCATCATGATTAAGCGAGCAGCTTTAGTTACGCAGATTAAATATATTTCTTAACTAGCGACTCACCCTCGCTTTGCTCGGGTTCGTCCCTAGCTTGATTCCCGATACAAACTTTCAACCCCATTTCACCTCCTTAAGGGTTTATTTCTATGTAAAAGTATCCTATGTCCTTCTCCGGGTCTCAAACTATCTTCTTACCAAATTTCATCTAAATCGGTTCTATAGATCCAGAGATTACCCCCTACAACGTCAGAAACTCACAAATTTTACCTCTTTATAATATTACTAGCATTGCCCGCAGCTAAACCCGCGTTCAGATGACCAAAAACCAAATTCTTAGGTTTTACATATTAGTATACTCTTACATTGCAGTTTTTGTATTTTTCTCAGAAATGAGACATTTTCCATTTTAGTTTTTAACCAGCTATCATCATACCAAATATCATCGAAATCCCTCCTGTAGTTTTTCTGTGATGCGATAACAGACAGACAGACAAAAATTCTAAAAACTATAGATTCGGCCTCTGTATCGATAATAATGTTTATCTCAATACGATTTTCCAAAAAATATCTAATGTACAGATTCGGATTAGTTACAATTTTATTATATGTATAGATTAGCTACAAATACAAAATAAAGTTAAAGTAAGTTAAATTAAAAGTTAGTTTTAGAAGGTTTTTGATAGGTAGGTATTCATAACTAAATTAAAGTATCTACATGTTAAAGTAGTACATATATTGTATTTAATAATGTTTTCTATTGTTGCAGTAAAAAAGGCGCGCTATGTCGGTATACAAGGTAAGGATGTTGAGAGTATTATATACTAACATTATGACGGTACTATGTATAGTATCTTTGTACATAGAGTAAATATGAAAAAAAAATGTTAACTATTTGCAATATAATAAATAAAAGAATTATTTTCGATTTTAATTTAAAAAAAAGAGCTCAATGGATTCATAAACCTTTTAACGGCTAAAATGTTAATTTTCATTTCAGTCGCTCGAGTAGGTATTAAGTACTTATGATAGCTTGAACTTATTGTATTAAGTGGCCATGCAAATGGGTAGGTAGCAATATTGCTAAGTGGCTTCAAATTATATAAAAATAGGAGCACGTAATACTATATACATAAATTAAATGTTAATATTTCTTAATATTTAAATTGTGATGCTATTTATTACTAACTAGCATTGCCCGCGGCTTCGCCCGCGTTCAGATGACCAAAAACCAAATTATTAGGTTTTATATATTAGTATAGAGTATACATTGCAGTGTTTGTATTTTTTCTCGGAAATGAGACATTTTACCGCGGTAAAAAGTATCCTATACGTTGACTCGGATAACCAGCTTTCATCATACCAAATTTCATCAAAATCCCAGTGGTTTTTCTCTGATGCGGTAACAGACAGACAGACAGACAGAAATTCTAAAAACTATAGATTCGGCCTCTCTATCGATAATAATGTTTATTTCAATAAGATTTTCCAAAAAATATTTAATGAACAGATCCGGCTTAGTTACTTACAATTTTATTATATGTATAGATACGAATTAAAAAATATATTCGTCAAAAACAATTCATAAAATATTTTTATATTTAAAAAAAAAGTAGACTATGGCCTATTATTTATATTTTGTCAAGCAAATTTGAATATTAAATGAGTATTGTATATAGTATATTTTTCTTTACAGCTACACAATTCAACACATACGTGACACTCAAACTACAGAATGTCAAGTCGACGACGGTGACAGTGAAGGGCCCGACTCCGTGTTGGGAGCAAGACTTCCTTTTGTGAGTTGTCTTTATTGTGTAACTAGCTTATCCTATTGAGTGTTTTATTTTTAAGACTACTATAATTTTAAATAAAACTATCTTTTCGGATTTTTTCGGGAATTTATTTTGATTTTTGGTTCCCGACGTTTCGAATGCTTTACAGCATCCATGGTCACGGGAGAGACTGAGGTGTTACATGTCTTGAAGGTATAGTTGTTACAGACAGCCTACTCACAATTAACAAAAAAACTATAATTTTAAAAGTTTGTATGAGAGTGTGTAGTATACTTGCTACTCTTTCAAGCCGTGCTGAAACGGATGGACAGATTTGGATGAAGTTTTGTAAACGTGGATTATGGATCTGGAATAAAAAATAACTCATAAGTATACTGTTCAACTATTACTGATATTACTGTTGATATGACTTGTCGCCATTTTGTCCACCCAAAGTTGATTCGATGCATAACATCGGTCAATATCACCATAACCTTGTACGAGAGAACCGAGATACCAAAAGTCAGAGCAGATCGGTACGGGTATTCCCGCAAGTGTTATAGGCACTACACTGGAGTGATCGCCAAATCACTTTATTCGCGAAACTACGCCATGCACTTGCAATAGCAATCTCTTTTTTAGCTCCTTCCTACATCATATTCTTCTTTCTTTGCCGCTTTCAAGTTTGAATACGGTTTATCAACATTCTGCCACTGTATAAACTTCACCTTCTTTTCTTTTCTACAAAAAACATGATTTTACAAAAAAAAGGCAGAGTGAAGTTCGGTCGTATATAAAATATTTATATTATACTATATCTATATATGGATTATTATAGAAAATGTGGGGCAAAATATTATTTTAAATTATTGCGAATTTACGCCTTTGGAGGAGGAAATTTTTACATATACAAAAGTTAGTTGATATTCCTACAAATAATTTATCGAGGTATCCGAAAAATGGATAGGCATTTTTTAGTATTGCTCAGTTTCGCAAAAGGAATTGATAAAGCCAAAACTGACAGTTTTGCGAAGGCAAGAGAAAGGGTTTGATCACTGATCATAAAAATTACCTACAAGATATAACAGGAAGTAAAATATAATGTTTATTTTATTATTGGTTCCTAGTAATTTGCCACTTTTCTTTGTCTTTTAGCGTTCATATTTTCTACTAATTTTATCCAAACACTATACATATATTCGCTCGTCTTTTTCTTGATATTCTGTTATTTGAAACAGATATATATATAAAACGATCTAAATATGTGCTAGTAACTTACATTGCACGTAATATTAGAGTTAAGGCATGAAATAAGTCAATATTTTAACAGACCTTCAAAATCAAACATTACCAGTACCTGTAAGATTAGAGTATTTCTTTTAACCTTTGAGCTTGCGTACGAGTATTTAGTTTATACACATTTATTATAAGATTTTAATTTGTTAACTATCAGTTTAAACATAACTCTTTTATATATTCATAAACTTTTTACATGACTTTCAAACTACTTTTTTTTATGATCCAGAATGAATGTAAACGGCAATAAAATTTATTTAATAAAACATTCGCTGGTTATCTGATGATAGTATTGATCGGTCGGCCGTTGTTCCTTATCAGTTGCATGTTATTAGACATGCGATAAGTGCATCATTTATCTATATACCATATATAGGGAAATTTTCGCATATTCATTTTGATTATAATATATGCGAATCATTTCCAACATGAATATCATTTATCTTAACGGTGAAGGAAAACGTCGTGAGGAAACCTGCACATCTGAGAGAACCTAGCAAGTTTTTAAAAAGTCATGTGAAGTCCGCCAAACCACACTTGGCCAGCGTGGTGGACTTGGACCTGATCCCCCTCGTACTAAAGGGAGGTCCGTGTCCAGCAATGGGATGCTAAAAAAAGGGCTGAATACATATACTTAATACGCCCATAAGCAAAATTAAGCAATAATTTGTAATGTTATAATAGCCTAGCGTTTTTCGCCGCTTCGTCATTTTAATCAGAATCATTGTTTCCTATTTTGGTCACTGTAACTTTAAAATAACGATCTGTTTTACAAACTTCCAACAATTTTTTATCTTTAACCTCAGAGTTGAACTTCCAAAAATCCTTTCCTAGTGGATGCTTATCTCTATATGAAGAATCTAATATGCTAGTAGTAGCATTTATATAATTTCTGAGATTTCGTGATTAGTTAGTAAGTGGTATTTTTACCCGTGACGGCCACGGAGACGGTATATTGGGGTAAGAGATGTTTGTGTATCTGTTACCATTTGTCTCAGAAACGACTAGGCCATAACAAATAAACATAAATAAAAAAATTAAAAAACCCACGACGGAAAATTGTGACATGAAAAAAAACTTCAAAATAAAAATTTCAAAAACCCACGGCATTCCGCCGTTCATTCGGTCATCGAGTGTAAGCTATGTTGTAGAATAAACATTATTTAACAATAAAGCTACATTTTACTATTAAGTAGAATGTCCAGTCTACAACATAGGTACACACACATACATATATACATACATACATACAATGCTACATATACTTATAGTATATAAAAATACGTACTAACTTTTAGAAAGACAGTAAATAATAAACTAATTTATTTTATTAATGTCTTTTTGCACTTTTGCCATATCGAAGTAGGCCCAAAAAGGCGTATTTCATATTATAATTCTTGATCAAAACGGGACTTTGACATCAAAGGAAACTATACCCTGAAGCATAGTTAAGAGTCGAAAGGAAACTACAGCTGTAGGTATTATATTCAAATGACCAACAGTCAGATCTTTACAGTAAATTATAAACTTTATTGAAATGCTACGAATACGATTTTTTAATAAATGAGTTCAGTTTTATATGTATTAAATTATATATTATACTAGCATTGCCCGCGGCTCCGCCCGCGTTCAGATGACCAAAAACCAAATTCTTAGGTTTTACATATTAGTATACTCTTACATTACAGTTTTTGTATTTTTTCCCGCGGTAAAAAGTATCCTATATGTTGACCCGGATAACCAACTATCACTATACCAAATTTCATCAAAATCCCTCCAGTGGTTTGTCTGTGATGCGGTAACAGATAGACAGACAGACAGACAGACAAAAAATCTAAAAACTATAGATTCGACCTCTGTATCCGTACCAATATTTATTTCAATAAGATTTTCCAAAAAATATCTAAGGTATAGATTCCGCTTAGTTACCATTTTATTATATGTATAGATAATATACGCGATGTAGTATTTTACTAAATAATGTGTGTATTATTTGCAAAATCTTAGTACTGTAGAGTTTTCCCTCGATTAAATAGGTCGTGCTCGTGTAAAATTAAGTATGGCGTATTGTTTCTAATAAAATTCGCGTCATTATGTTCTAGCATTAAAGCTGTATTATTTGAGACTAAATTAAGGCAATTAGGAGCGAAGGAGAATTCAAATTGTTAAAAACGAATTTAATATGTCGGCTAGAATTACTTTCAATGTCGAAGCTCAACTTTTTTCCCTTAAACTTTATTTAAGAAGAGTATTGATAAAAGTTTTTTAGAGAGTTGGCACTTAAAAGGTTTCATGTAGAATTAAGTACACAAAATTAGGGTTCTATATATATATATATATATATATATATATATATATATATATATATATATTATAATTCGGGTGAAATTTTGTTTGAATTTACAGAGAAAATTAGAAATATTTTACTAAGTTTATATTTACGTACCAGATTCAGATATTTTAAAACTACTAACTCTGTAGAGCGAAGTAGTACTCATAAAAAATGTCCAGTACGAGACACGAGTCATGTGATAGTTTCGTACATCGATAATAATATAAAATAAATTAAAAATTAAGGGGTTTTGTTATAGCTGTATACTATGAGTGACGCCTTATATTTTCGAATGCCTATTTGTGTGCGAGCTGTATATTTGAATATTATATTTTATTACTCATAAAAAACCAAGGCATTTAACATGTTAATTGATGCACTAGACCACTAGATGCTGGACCCCTATAATTAATCCTCAAAATTAGATTTCATTTGTGTTCAAATATACAGCGATACTAAGAAGTGTTAGGTATCAAGGTGAAGAACATATAAATAGAATATAACACTGCTATTTTTAGAGTTGTTTCGTATATATAGAATTTGTAAGCTTTATTCATACAATATCGCTTCGAAGGAATCTAAATTGAATCATGTATCGAATCACTTGTCTATAACGTCATGTGTATTGGCATTCACGCAGTTTAAAAGATTTACTGCGCCAAACTGTGATAGACTAATAAATCGATCCTAACAGGACTGGATGCCAAAAATTTAAATCATTTTGCTTTTTTATTAAACCGATACTATATATATATATATATATATATATATATATATATATATATATATATATATACTTACTTACACATGAAGATTTACACTAAATTTATTATATGTATTTGACAAACAAAACTAAAACTTTTAACAACATTTTATTTATAACCTATTAACTACTATTTACTGAAAAACCACAATAATCGCAGAGCGAATTTTTGGTTTGCTTGACTTATGTGACTAATAGGGTATAGAATTTTTGCTTTCCAAATTTGTACTATTTGCGACCAAAATTTCAATAGGCAATGCCAATCTGGTTATTTAAAAAAAAATATGTAGGACAGTTACATTAAGAATGAAAAATATATATAGGGTCATTTTTATTTTACTGAAAACCTTTTGGGAATATACTATTTACATCATAGCACCAACATCTGTAACAAGAAAAAATAATATTTCTTGATTTTTATTTTTATACAAAAATAAAAATATTTTTTTTGCACCTTCTAAACTTTAAAGTTCTAGCATCTGGCCAAGTTTAAATGAGTAAGCGCGGCTTCCTACACCCCTCCACCCCTCCCCCTCCACCGGACACGCACTTTCTTTTGCTAACGCTGGACTATTACCGTTTAGAAGGTGCAATAAAAATATTTTTATTCTTGTAAAATTTAAGATATATTTT